TATTTAACTTACATTAAATCAAATTAAATTAAGTTATATTGAATTAAGAAAACTTATACAATATTAAATTGAGTTAAATTATATTATATTATATTAAATTCAGTTGAATTGAATTGAATTATATTAAGTTAAGAAAAATTAGATTAAATTCCATGAAATTAAGAAACATTAAATTAAATTATATTAAATTAAGAAACATTAAACTAACATAAAGTTGTTCACAAAAATTGAAAGTTTTTGAAAAGATTTAATTCCTCTAAACAGAAAAAATGATTATCTCTGCGTCTTTACATAGTAGTATTTTCCCGAAAATCTCGCGATAATATCTCAATGTCCCGAACATATTTACCCTGCTATTAAAAAGCAGATTAAAAATTGAATTAACGCAGCACCACTTTCAGTATCCAATCATGCAACCCGATCATTTTCCGACGCCATCGGCGAACTGCAATTAACGCTATTAAAAACCGAGAATCTCATTCTGAGATGAGAAAATTGGAAATGTTTGCAGATCCGTTTTACAGTAAATCTAGATAACACACCGATGTTATTGCTATCGAGCTATTGACTATAAATTCCACATTAACGAACCGTCATTTTCAAGATCGAAAGGCAACTCGATATAATCTAGGATTAACACGAGAGAAACGCGAAGTTAATCTGACCTCGAAAACGTAAGGAAATTCGATGAAGACCGATGCGCCGGTCTATCGCGAATTAGTTTTAATTAACGCGTATCTATCGGCGCGATTGATCTCGATTCGTCCGCCGTTTCACTTTTTTCGCTCGGCGAAACCGCCTGCCTCGAACCATTTTGCAATAATGCCACCGTTAATCATATTGTTATCGCGTTGGTGAAGTTTCTTCGAGCTATCTGATGATTTCCTTCTACCGATGTAATGAGAGCTGAAAGAGTAACGAGCCAGATTATGCCGGATTAATAGCCGCGCATGCCCCGCCAGATCTTTAACTAAACGTTGCATTTTGCTCGAATTCGGATCTCGCGATTTCATATTCCCTCGGGTTCGAATACGCCCGTGATTACGGAAAATCTGCAATCTACGATCGATCACCGACATTTCTGATTCCATTTTTAAACGGTCTACAAAAAGGTCATGTCGCAAGTACGTTCATAAATTACAGAGCTTGTTGCGCATGCATTGGGCGATGCATTTCTGGCGATGCGGATGCTTGTTTTGCAATTGTTTCGACGACTTTTGTTATGGTCATACTTTTACGCGGTTTTCCTATTTTTCATTACTTTCATGAGATTCATTTTTTGCCATAAATTTCACAAGTTTTATTACTTGCATATTTTTCATAATTTTCATAATTTTTATATTTTTCATAATTTTCATATTTTTCATATTTCTCAATTTTTTCACGATTTTCATAATTTTCACAAATTTCATGATTTCTACAAGATTCATAAGTTCCATAAATTCCACGTTTTTCATAATTTCAATATTTCTATGTTTTACATAATTTTTATAATTTTCGTACTTTTCTAAGTTCCCTATGACTCACAATTTATATTTATCTCTATTTTATGCTTCGAAGTCTGTTAAATGACTCACCGGGTCGCACCCGAACCATAAAATACTAGCCAATAAGAAATAGCATACAGATTATACTAAGTAAGTGGCATAGCCTTTTCTATTAACTATGACAATGCTTGCAATTTACTTTATAGCAATAATTAGAGCATTTATTTTAAGAAAGTCATAACAAAAATAAGTAAATAAGATATGAAGTAACGAAAAAATTAAAATGATTATAAAATATTTATATAGAATTCTGAATTTATTAATATTATTATAAAAAAATTCCACATTTCTATTTGGATTCTGTTGCTTGCAATCAGTGCAGACAATTTTTATTTTGCATATTCATCC